GATTAAACGAACAACGGTAACTGTAAAGGAATGATGTGACACGACCGGGATGGATGCAAGGTCTAGACTGCATCTAGACCTTGCATCCATCCCGGTCGTGTCACATCATTCCTTTACAGTTACCGTTGTTCGTTTAATCGTGTTAAATGTACCGTTTTTACGTTTTAATGTCCGTGTTCGTGTTCGTGTTTTTATGTACATTTATGTGTAATGACGACCTTCATATGAAGTGACCACCATTTGACATCCTTGACGCCTTCGCCTGAAGATGACTTTGTAAAAAGTCGAAACTAGTTGCGACACTAGCAACATTAGGATTGCCACGAAGCAGGTATTTACACCATTTTAATATTTTCATAATTATTACTCTAAGCTTAAAGGCTTTACTTATTTGTTCGTTGATTAGCTGGAGTAAATGTGGGAGATTAAATAAGACAAAGTTCTTAAAGACATATCTAGGATCTTTTACCTCAAGAAGGTACTTCATAAAGGTACTTCTTATCCAGGAATGTATGATCATTTTTATTAGCAATAATTGAAAAATATAGTCTATTACCGTTTTAAATCTTATGTTTTGCACAATACACTTTCCGTATGGACCGTTTGCTTACCGTTCAAAATTGTTACAAATGAATTGACTTATAAATCATGTTATCAATGATTACCAAATCAAATACTTAGTAAAATATTGAATAGAGTTTTATGTGTGGAATATCCTCTGTACATGGCATTATTACTTATTATATAGGTATACAAAAATTAATCTACATACTATAAACCAAAATTAACCAGTACTAAAACCTAAGATATAAACAGAATTGCCAACATGAAGCCCAATACACGTCACAACAGCAAACACGGCGGGATTTGGTACCTGGGATTTCTACAGGTCAAGCGATGTCCTGTGTCCACCCACTGAATACTAACCACTGTCGGCACACAGCCAACAACGATCTGCACTCTCACATACTGAACGTTCTTATCGTATCGGAATAAGAATGCAAAATTAAATTATCTTATCTCATTTTTATTATGAAACGAATGGGCTTGGATATTGACTTGAACGTAACTTTGTCTACGAATGTTCGGCTTTGCCTAAGCATTGACGGCGTTTTGCACTAATCAAACATTTTAAAGATTTCGTAGGTAGATGGTAAATGTATATGGACTTTGTAGCAATGAACGACTAAGCTTAATAATTATAAATTCACTACTAGAAAGAACTACGATCGTAAGGCAGATGGGATTCCCAAATCTTATGGTTTGGAAGGATGGTGGATTGGTCCTGAGTGAATTCAGCGCTCCTTTCAGTTAGAACGAGTCGACTCCCTTTTATCATTGGTTATTGTTAATACTTGATACTAACCAAATAAACAGCTCATCTTAACCAATACAGCTAACAATGCATATAACTTCATTCTACTCTCATTATCCATTCAAATTCAGGTTAAAATTCCTAGTATTGTGGCCCTGTCTGTAGTGATGCGTTGTGCACACAAACTATCAGATCAAAGGAGGAACATTATTTGAAGGTGTTGAAGTAAAACTCTGTATTATTCTGAGATCAGTTTTTGTTATTTTATACAACTGTATAAAACATGAAAATTTATCTTACAAAAAACATAGGTAAACCTTTTTCATTGCAAAATACTAAGTCAACACAGTAATGCAAAGGTGAATTATTGTAGAATTATTAACAATCCTGTTACTACGTTCATCAAAAAGGGTAAAGGTTTTAGCCTCCTTTAGCATTTTGAATTACATTGTCCAATAGACAATGCTTTAAACTGTTTAAAGCCTCAGAACTAAAACTTTTGTAGTATAGTGGAGTATTTTATGCCTATAAGGCAATGAATTACTCAAAACAACACTTCTGGTAAATTAACAGTTTTACAATGCAAAATCATTCCAATTAGAATAAAACAAATACTTATGCCTAACTAACCTAAATACGTTTACATTTCTCACATTTTGAAAACAGGTAATAACAAAACTATAAAACTGCATTGGACAAAAATACGAATTTTAAGTGAGTTCTTACGTATTTTAAGTGAGTTCTTACGTATTTTAAGTCAGTTCTTACCAATGGCTACTGTCGTAATGAAATAGTATTAACGTACTACTAAATTTGAAACACACGATGCTGAGAAACACATAATTTGTTTAAGTTTTGTAAATAGAAGTGGTTTAATGTTATCGTAACACTTATTATTGTACAGATAGAATAACATAGTTTGCATTAAAATCTGTATAATCCTAAATTTAAAAATAACTTTAACCAAACAAATCAACTTAAAAATTAATTAGACTATTAACAATGTTTTTAGATTTAATTTACTAGTAACCTCACACTTCTTGTACATCTAATATATTAAAACAACATTAAAATGATGATTAAAATTAACCAGTTGAATGATAACGTTATGTGCTTGGATTAGTTTGTGCTGTGGGAGACGAGGGAAGTAGATAGAATTTACGATATGGAGGTTTTCCTGTGACACCTCCACATGAGAAATGTATCTACATTGCTGTAGATCAGAGTTTTACACCTCCATTCGGATCTCATTTCCATCGTGATATTGATGATATTGTCAAAAGTTTTAGAAATTAAATTATTTTCTAACTACTACTTAATATAGTACTGTACTAGCTGTTTTACCCGTGCTTTGCAACGGGAAGAAGGCACAAAATAGAAACATTTTGATCTTAACATCTGTTGTATAAAATACATAAGTTACATATCCACCTACAATTTTAGAATAAAAATTCAACCTTTATGGCCTTTATAGAAACGTTTATGGCTTTTAAATCTGGCAACTAGTGGAAACCGGTATTTTGATTTTGATGAATTTTTAATTGGCTGATATGAAAAAAAAACTCACAAAACGTTCACATAACATTTTCACATATAAGGTTTACCTTCATCTCCTTTATTTACATATATTTTTGCTTTATTTTTAACACATTTTTTAGGCCAATCTTCTTTAAATTAAATCACAAATCCTTCAATCATCACTCACAACAAATCATTAGCAGGACTAACATCAGCTGTTATAAGCTTAAAAAATTGTCGTGCCTTACTTTATTGTATTTTTTGAAAAATAAAAAAAAAACATACTGTAAAAAAACTGTAAACTAATAATTAAGCATTATAGACGTCAGACAAAACCAATATTATCAAAACACAGTAACAACACAGTACACAGTAAAGTAACGAAGTAAGTCCTATTACCTTTCTTGATAGGGTAACTACTTGTTTTGTAAAATATAAGCCCATTAGGTCTAGTAGTTTTTACGATATTCAGTAACATACATACAGACAGACACCATTAGATTTTTATATAATAGTATAGATATAGATATACAAGTTTCCCAAAATCAGGCACAACCCAATTTAAAAGGTGTCAGAACTTTTGGGCTACAATCTTGGTTAACTTCTATTTTAACTATTTATAGACATACTTTATTCCTATTGTAAAATTATGTTTTGGCATATGTTTTATGTCAAGGTTCGCCTAATGGCACTGATCCCTACAACACGTTTTTGCATTAAAAATATCCCAACGTCTAGCCTACCTTGTTTTGATAACGACTGAAATCGAGACGCAATTATCAAGATAATAGTTTTTACTATTTATAACATTAACAATTTTTGTGCCATCGATATAATATATAAATTAAGTAAATTTCAGAAAATACACTCGGTATGAGCGAATCAACTATATTAATACAATCTATATTAAGTTTTTATTCTATGAATTCATAATTTTATACATTAACGAAAAAAATTAACTGAATGAATGTATATAAAAATAAAATTTACTCTTTTATTTACATTATCATTTCAAACTTTTTTATATTTAATTTTTAAAACCAAACGTTTAAAATACTACATAATCCAACCTTTTGTTAAAGATAAGCCTATGGCTTTCAGTATAAACTTGTTACTTAAACTATTACGTGTGGTGGGGTTTGAACGAAAACCTCCTTTCTTCGGATCTAAAATAATCCCAATTCCCTTGATGTAACATAAACGCCCTGTTTTTATAGATTCCCACAATATATTCCCAAATATTACATTATAATTGAATCCAAAGAGGAGAAAACTTTGGACAAAGAACACTTTTACATGGCAAAGACATGACTACATGTTGAGTGTATTTCTCGGGAGAATAACCTTTCTAAGAAATTGACAATCGATCTTGTGAGGACACCTTTAAAGCGTTTGTTTGAAACTGTTTACGATACCGTTGTATATTTTAATGTAACCTAAAGGGGAACTATCATTAATATATTTTATGATATGTTTCTTCTGATGTTTCTCTAGTTCATGAGTTTTTCTAGCTCCGTTTCCTGAATTTCAAGATAAATTCAAGCGTCATAATAATTTATCGATTCATCTATAATTTTGAGAACCAATTCAATTATTTGCAAAAGAAAAATCAGAAAGCATCGATCAAGTCAAAAAGTGATAACCATATCTTTTGATGTAATTTGAAAGTTGAAGTGTTTGTTATACATTATTATAAGACACCGGTATTGATTTTTATAACAGTTGGCGATTGTTTTTGTTGATTATTTTCACAGATTTTTTTACTTTTATCTCTGTGGAAATTTATTAGAATAATTTCTTTGCAAATTATGAAACTAGATTTATTTTGAGAAGCAGAAATGTTCCCAACATGCATATTTTACCCGTTAAACTTGTTAAAATTATCTATTGCAAGGTCACATTCAAAACTATGCCCGTAGTAGTTTTATTTATGTTCTCTCTAAAACCAGTAGAGTTTAGTGTTGCGTATCTATGTTAGATTAATTTATTGTATATTGTTTTAAATTATTTTGTAAATTATTTGTACGGTTTGTTTAACTATATTCAAGACAAGAGCTCTTTACAAAAACACAAGTGTTTCTAAAACATACTCTATAACCTATTACGTATAAATTAAATTTAAATACTACAATTATGTTTCTATTAATTTAATTTATTTAGGTTAATGTCAAGGCCAAACTACACTCTCGATCCAATCCAAGTAGTAAGACACTCTGACATACACTCCCGGAGACTTGACGAAACAAGAGTTGCCGAAGTAGCCGAGTCCTACAAGGCTGTACATGCAGTAAGTATCTCGCAGTCGGATCTGTAGTGGGCTGCCATCTATACTCTGGAAACAGCATTATAAAATGCATGAAACAGTCCTATGAAACGTAGAATTTTATATAATATTACCTTTAAAATTACGGTGGTTTAATTGAATATTAGTCCACTAATCGTGGAAATCCAAAGGGGTTAAGGGTTGGGTCCCGGATTGGTTTTGTATGAGAATAAATTCTTATCTTAAGTCATGAAGTGAATGATTACCTTTTACAGTTACAGATAAGATTATTAAGCTAGATTTGCCTTTGTAGCTAGGGTTGAACAGATGTTTATGTTAAACTCATCACCTTAAAACCAAATCTTGAAGGCTTGCAGCATGGCATTTGGCCAGAAATGTAAATTAAATCATACAGATTGGTAACTAGTACCATATAAACTGGATTACAATTTTACAAACAAATATAATACTATTTCATATTAAAAAGTGACTGGTTGTTCAAAAATCTACATTTGTTTTAGAATGAATAATGACTGAATACAAACAGAACAAACATTAAGGATATCTTTTATTCATCTTCGAAAGTCAGTTTTACTGTTAAAGCAATATATACCGATACAGCTATGTCAAAACCTTAACTGTATTATAGTTCTAAAATTTAGAAAGGCCACAGATTCCGAAACAAAAGTATTCCCCCATCAGTTCGTTTGAAAAAAAAAATCAATGACTAAAAAAGTCGAATCTTCTAAAAATTTAAAACAATACACTCTTAGCCATAAAACATTAAAAATTTCTGACTTAGCTGGGGCATTGAAACAGATAACAATCTTGTAAAACGATGGGTTCACCTCTTTACAGCGTTTTTATCAAATTGCATTTGTATGTGAAACCTTTTTACCATACAATATAAACGTATAGCCTCCAATGTTGATGTAAGAAAAAGGCGTAACACTTTTTTAAGAAAAGTAGTGCCCTCACCCACTTGTAAACTTTTCTACAATTGTGCCTCAACTTCTCGTAAATCCAAATCCATCAACATCAAAGCTGTTCACATTTGATGAAAACGGGAGGAAATTCCGCATAGATCAAAGGAACAATTAAAATGTAAAACACTTTCTAAAGTCTCTGCTAATTACCTACCAATTAGTATAACTTATTGTTTTATTGCTTAAGCTCTTACAGTGCAAGTATCTCGTCCGTCTGTGAGAGCAGCGCAGACAGCCAGTCTTGTGTCGAGTCCTTCATTGAGTTCCCCGTAGAACTTGAAGGCCTCTCTACAGTCTGCGTCGTCTACGATGGTAACATTCACTTTCTGAACGACATCACTAGGCCTGCTCCCTGCAACACGGTTGCTTTGAATGTTGTAACATTGTGCAATTCTAACGTAACATGATATGGGGGACGAGAAGTTTTCGGAATTCACTTTTAGACAAAACTTAAAGTTCAGCAGTTAGTATCAGATTTCTTGGGAATAATTCAACGCTGTACCTGTCTACTAAAAAAAGTAGGTTAAATTCATGCAAGCTATCCTATCGTAATATTTCCACTGAATGCAAACATAAGAAGTAGAAACGTAATGCATAATTTGAAACATTTACCAAATTACTTATCAGAAAAAAAGTAAGATTTCGTACTTACTTAAAGTGAAGATAAAAAAATCTTTGTGTGCTTATCGTAGTGCAACCGATGAAAATAACTGCATATTTTTAAAATTACAACACTACAAAATATCAAACCACCAACTAACTATCGAGTGGTGTAATATATTTTTTTTTTGTTGGCTTTTTTAAAAGGGACAGACTCCAAATTAGTTTTATAATAACCTAGAATACAGTATTCTTACATGGTTAATTAGTATTCAAAATATATTTATAACATTTTCACATGTAAATGGTAAACTGAATTTAAATTAGGATGGGCTTAGTTTCGTCAATAACTATGTATGTGCTGCTTATTATTTATGCTCGACAAAGTTACAGATACTAAAAGATTGTACAAGAGGTTTTAATTGTGAGCTTATTTGTGGATCTACTCATATACAGTCAAGGCTTCATCAAAAGTGTGAGCTACTTCAAGAGGCTCGGCTATAAGCAATCACGGCACACTATCTATTTATTTATATAGTCAAGGCTTCATACACATTAAGGGAACAAATTAACCCATGACCTTGTATCAGGCTAATTCTAGAATATATTGGATCGTATCAGCGTTAAAGATACTAATTGTGCTTAGAAATACAAGATCATATGTTAAATATGTAAAGGTGATTATACATTTAAACGTTACCTGGTTCAACAGGTCCCCAGCCAATATTTAAGGCGAACGTTTGGTCAAACCGGTTCCCCGAATGGAGACAAATTGGCCGCACGTATTCGTCGAATTTGACGTCAGTATTCAGCCTGTACAAGGCTACGTCATGGTAGAATATCTCGTTTGGTTCGTGCAATTCTTGATAATCTGGGTGTACGATGGTTTCTATGACGTCATATATGACAGTGCGAGATTCTCTGTTGACGTCGTCTGAATCCGAGTTGACGTTATAATCGCCAAGTCTGACCCATGCTGCCTTCCCTCTGAAACACATGGATTAGTTTCAGTTCACTTGTCCATCTAAATATTTTGTAATGTATTTGATATATTAAATTATATTACATCACTATGGTCCACGAAGAAGTGGCTAACTTTGAATTAATACATACTAAACGTGTTTAATATGGGCTATTTATTAAATACAAAACCCAAGTGGAGGAAACAACATCTTTATTTCAATATAGCCATCTTGAGAGAGCATCTAGAAGACGAACTCCCCACCCTGAGTCACCTCGCAGGGTGGTAACATGACAACATTATATATGATAATTAAATTTTAAGCATAGAATATAAAACAAAACGTATCTAAAGCGCTACATGCTTGAAACTATACAGTTAAAATAAATACACACATTATAAATACCCTAATTCTCACATGAGAATCGCTTACAACATTACTATACCTATGTAATGTTACTATATATCAATGTATACCTATGTAGAGCTTGAATACCTCTCTACAATCTGCGTATGGTAACATTAACTTTCTGTACAACATCTCTAGGCCGGTCCCCCTGCGACATGGTTGCTTGAAAATAATTTTGTAAAATTGTGCAATTTTAATGAAACATAATATAAGACAAATGATGTTTCTATATTTTTAGCCAACTAGTAAGGTCTTTGGGAAGCCTTAAATCATAAAAACTTATTTTTATGTTTAGTTTTATCAGAACAATTTTGCTCTGATTGATCAAAATGGTGGAGCAGCAAAATATGAACGAAATTAGCAAAACTGATTTGCTAACATGAATATAACATTCAATTTTTTATTAATTTAATTTAGTTTAGGTAACATTGTAAATAAATGCAGAATTAACTTAAAATGGTTTAGCTAATAGAATAACTAAAAACAAAAACACCATTAATTTTTCGTTTTGCTGTTTTATGCTGACAGGTCGGATATGAGGCTCGAGGTGTATTTGCTGCAACTGTGGAGTTGCATAACACAAATGGTATGTAATGTTTTCGGAGCTCATAGTTTTTACAATACCCTGGCAGAAAGAATAACTTCATTATATATATATATATATATATACAGGATGAATCTCGTAAGGTGTCCAGTATTGATTTCAGACAAACCGTTGGTCCTACGATGATGAAGTAAAATTATTTCCCACTGAACCAACCCCGAGGAATAACGTAAAAATATTTTTAACGATTTTTAAATACAGGGTGTACCAGAAACTGAGGGTCACTAGTCCGAATCTACGAAATATCAAATACTAACGTATATCATGTTGTACATCAAATTAAAGCTCTTTTCAATCCAAACCATTTGGCGGAATCAGATTTTGATTATATTGATTCATTTCAAAATGGCGGCTGTTTTTGTGAAACAATTAGTATTTTTTTGAATACCCTGTATTTTTCTTAAAAATGCAGATATCTTGATTCTGATTCAAATATTGCATTCCTTATGAGCTAAGCTTTATTTTGATATGCAACACTTCAATATTATCTCAAAAACAAAAAGTTTCAAAAATATCAGTTTTTGAAAATATGTACATAGCCAAAACTCAAAAATTTCAAATAGCACCATATGTCAAATAGCATATCATTTTAAAGGTATTGCAATTCTAAGAAACTTTCAAAGATAAACCTTATGCGTATCTATTTTGGTTTTTGAGTTATCAACAAAAAACATATTTTCCCACATTAAAACGCATGCTATTTGTTAAACATGGTAGTAAAAATGTTTAACATGCTTTAACAATTAATGTTTAACAAATAACATGCGTTTTAATGTGGGAAAACATGTTTTTTGTTGATAACTCAAAAACCTAAATAGATACGCATAAGGTTTAAATTTGAAAGATTCTTAGAATTGCAATACCTTTAAAATGATATGTTATTTGACATATGGTGCTATTTGAAATTTTTGAGTTTTGGCTATGTACATATTTTCAAAAACTGATATTTTTGAAACTTTTTGTTTTGGAGATAATATTGAAGTGTTTCATATCAAAATAAAGCTTAGCTCATAAGGAATGCAATATTTGAATCAGAATCAAGATATCTGCATTTTTAAGAAAAATACAGGGTATTCAAAAAAATACTAATTGTTTCACAAAAACAGCCGCCATTTTGAAATGAATCAATATAATCAAAATCCGATTCCGTCAACTGGTTTGGATTGAAAAGAGCTTTAATTTGATATACAATATGATATACGTTTGTATTTGATATTTCGTAGATTCGGACTAGTGACCCTCAGTTTCTGGTACACCCTGTATTTAAAAATCGTTAAAAATATTTTTACGTTATTCTTTGGGGTTGGTTTAGTGGGAAATAATTTTACTTCATCATCGTAGGACCAACGGTTTGTCTGAAATCAATACTGGACACCATACGAGATTCACCCTGTATATATATTTATATATATAAAAAAAAAAAAAAAACTATACTAATTGTTTTATTATGAGAAGGGATTTCATTGATGGGACTACTTTGCCGCTAATCACTTTAGCATAGCTGACTTTACTTTTGGCCGTGAATGTAAGGCACGCTTGCTTTCCTAACAAATCTGTCAACACGTGATGCCTGATATTTAGGCCTAGTTGGAAAATTAGAATTAGAAAACTCAGATAGATGCTCTCCAAACAGTTATGATTTTTTTGTATTTAAAATGTAACTGTGTGAATGATTGTTTAATTTAAAAGTAAATTAGAACCACCATTTGACTTATACTTTATTTTTCATCCAATCTATGATGATAGTACGATCAAATACTAGTATTACTTAGGTCAAAATGTTTACCAACTAAAGCCATCAAAGGCGAACAAGCCAAATTTGACAATTGTATTGAGATCCGGCTTTTTATCATTCCCGTTAAACCTTTCAGTCTTTAACTTATTTCTATTTTACTGTATTTTAATGAACTGAGAAACAGAACCAACCAGTGGTGGTTTCGTTAAGTTTCTTGTGAAGAGATACTTACAGATGGTTATTTGCACATCTAGCCAAACTGATGACATAACGCTCACTAACTAGGCTGCCTACGCATCTGACCATAGGCCGCTTCATACTTTTAACTCCATATCCGATAACAGCCTGGAAAAGGAATCAAATAAATGGTTTATATTTAAGATACATTTTTTAAACAGTAATTAATAGTTTATGATACTTAGCTTTGCCATTTGCTTTTCAACAGAGTGCTGTCTCAGGCAAGGTTTGTCCTTTGGAGTTAAAACAATGTATCGCCACTGATAATAGAAAGCTTCAATAGAGCCATTAACTCTATTACTTGCATTACAGTTAAATGCAATTAAACCATTACCTTAAATTGATTTCGTTGAAATCCTTTTCTAATTTTTGGAGTAAGGTCATCTTGAAAGTGTGATTTTGATAGCACATAAAACACGTAATAAAATGTATGTAATATAGCTTTCATTTGGTTATCACCAGTAAATATTTACTTTCTTAATTTCCACCAGTACATGATTGCACTGGCACTATGGAGTAAAGCTGTGCCTCTTTAGAGATGGGATCAACGCCTTAGATGAAAATACAAAAACAAATCAATACACCTATGACTATCTTCGTCGTAGTTAATTTCTGTACTTTTGTGACGCGACAGATATTTTTGAGTGGTTATACATACATAATAGAAAACTTAAAGCAAGATACTTTATAATTTTAATATAAAATAATACAATTAAATAAATTAAAGTATTTATTAGTTTGGGTTTATGGTACATCCAAGTACCATCTAACTCAATAAAAACCAGTTTATCATCATTTTGATATGAGAAATATTTCAACCCTCGAGTTTCAACAAATCTGTAAAGCTCGTTCAGTTCTCATTATGCGTAATATCTCTTCACTTCGATTTGACTTTTTTCCTTCTTAATCATATTCCTAACTCAACTGTCTGTCACAGATAATTCTGTGTTGTTTTAAAACAGTGAAGCACCGGCATGGTGTGAAGAACATCAAAGCCAGCGGTAAAGATACTGTATGCAACCGTTCTTGAACAAGTAATACCTGGTGTATCAGCTTGTGTAAACCACTGCCACTAAGCAACCATGTTGGGCATTAGGTGATTAAACACACACAAACACAATAATTTTCAAATAATAATCTAATCATAATAATATCTAATCAAACATAATCTAATATAACATAACAAAACATATCACCATATGAGGAAACTCTCTAGGCTGAGCATTCCTGGGAGGGTCAGGTACATGGTCATAGCTTGTCGGTGCTGCAGCTGCTATAGGCTCTACTAGGGCACAAGAGTCTATCCTTTCAGGGGTAACTTTGTTTGGTAGAACAACTGACTGGAACACCGCCTCTGCGTATCTCTTACACACTGTCAACACAAACGTTTCGATTAAATATTTTAAATGGAAGCAACTTCTTATTTCGGAGACTAGTGAATAGAGAGGTAACTTTCCGAGGTTATTGTAGCGCATTGTTTTCATACATCTTATAAACAAGGGAATTTTAATGATGTATTGCAAAGTAAGAATTGGATAGGTATGAAATAGCAGCCTCTTCTAACTTGGTTTGGTGAGGATTGTTTGATTTCTGGCTTATTTGGTGTAAATCATGGGTAGTAATTATGTAGTCAGAGTGATTAAAGTAGTTGATGATGTAGTGATTTTGTAAATTGTTGTAGTTGATGGTGCCTTTCAGATAGTTCGGCATGTTGGTGAGATAGTGGATGATAGTTGGTGTTTTAAGAATGGAGAGCAAGTGGACAGGTTCTAGTCTTATTCATATCCACTTAGAGGTCGAGTGGATATGTGTGAAATATTATAAAAATATGGGTTTTTTGCGATGAAATATACCCCCTCCAGAATAGAATCCCCTCTCCAGACTAACAGAACTTTTGGAAAATAATGTATAAGATCATTTGAAAGAAACTTAGTCATGAAAAAAGGTTGCAAAGAGAGAAAGCTAAAGGGGACATTTTTATCAATTTAGCTTTCTGTTGAAAGTTCATATTGTGTTATTTTAGGCCGGGTTTGGCTAGGTTTGAGCAAACACATTATTTAAAAAATCAATTGTGTAGGACTACAGTATTGATACATTAAAACTATTAAGTGTTAGTGAATTACTGGAAAAGATCCTATAAATGAGGACGTATGATTCAGAATGAGTGTAGCTGTTTCCCATCAAAAGTACAGTATTAACATTTGATACACCAAGATTCAAGAAGACATCAAGGGTAAAATAAATCAAGCTAGTTTTACCCTATTATAACATACTTACTTTTGACACTTTTTCTATCCGCGGGTTGTAGTACCACGGGTGCTCTGTTTGTAGTATAATTTAGTTCACAGCAAACATAGGGATCCTGGTTTATAATATTGCATTTCCCAGATGGTGTTCCGTTTCCTGTACCTTTATGCGACTCACATTCGCTCTCTCTTTTCCACGTCCAGTATTTTTTGCCTTCCTGCTTACACACGTCGGCTACGGAAAAAAAAAACATTATAACAAAAGAAATGTTTTAGTTTTGTATATAAAACCACATTATAGCAAAACTATATTTTTATTAGTGATGGTGGTTTAAATACGTTATTCTTACAATCCGATTGTTGTCTTCACAACTAGTTTCGACCAGCTAGGAGGTCATCATCAGGTGTGTACAAGGATGATATTACTTTATATTAAGGTCGTAAGTAACAGTTTTTTTACATTTACACAAACACACGACAAATAAACACATAATGCGCACACATATACGGCCGATAAAATATAACATCGAACTCGACAAGCGGACCCTTGTTGAAAATGCGAAAGTTGCGTCTAGCTATACTATAGTGTGTAGATGCTGGTCAAGCATCACGCGCATTTTCTTATCGCTCGTCGGTTCCATTTCCATTGTCTCTGTATATTTTTATTATTCCATTTTCTTCTATTTAAATTTTTTTCTTCTATTTTCTTTTCATTTAATATAGGTACTCAGTTTTTATAATTTACGTGATATTATAATTTATAATTTAGTTACATTGTTTTATGTTATATTTGTTTTTATTTCATTCTTTTGATCATATTTTTGATCATGTTGAATGTTTTCTTTACTTATGAAAATGGGTTTTCACCACTCCCGAAGGATGTATAAGTTACTATGTTATTTTACTATCGTAAAGCGTTCATTAAGGTGAACTAGTCTTTTTCTATCTACAATTTAATTCAGTTAAAGTAGGATGGAACCTATTCTCTGCCCTAATGTTTTAGGGATGCATAAAGAATAAAAGAACTGATATACACTTTTACAGATTTACAAATTCCATTAGAAGCATGACTGCAACCGAAGAAGACAAATTTCGGATTCCCATCAATAATATATGTACTGAAATTTATGAATAAGCAAATCAATACAACTAATTGCAGCTCTTACTGTCCTCAAAAAACGTATTCGTACCTGTAAGCGGGGGTTTTCATAGGCATAAACTGTTCAAGAACAAAATGAGAATGTTGTCCGATATTTAAAATCACTAATAAGTCGCAAATGTCATTTCAAAGCAGTTACAGCCGAAAGCCAGCATGATGATTGTATTCGTGATTCTTTGTTTAAGTATACAGAGTCAGACAACACTTGAGTTGTTTAAGTTATCCGACAACACTTGACGAACGCAGAAGATGAAGCTCTAGCTTTGGAGTTAGCTTTAACTACACTCCACGCAATATGGCACTCCTTGTGCAACAATAAATGCTGTTTCCAGTGGTTTATTAAACTAATGACACAGCTATTATCGTAACCACGGATGCTAATCACGAATACAACAGTGTTGATGTCTGTTGTAGGAGCTGTGCGTGCCGAATGCTTATTTTGCGGTGGATTTAGACATCCTTGCATCAACTGCCCAGTGAAAGACAAAATGTTTGTGATAGTTGCGAAAACAGGTCATTTTCAAAAGGTTTGCCGGCCCATACTTCTGTTGTCAAAATTATGTGTGTAAAAACCCTTGTCCCTTCTCAATCCAGTTAAAAGTAAAAAGAATCGTCACTATTAATGGTTTCAAGGTTTCAAAATCAGAAGAAGTATTTTATACAATTACCTGGTTTGCAGATGAAGAGTGGGTAGTCCCATGATCCACCCTCGAGACAATGCAATGAGTAAGACACCACTTGACATTGATTGTTGTAGAATTCTTTACACCGTTCTATTGCGACAGTACCAGGTAACATAGGTACATCACAGGGCACAACAGCATTGTTATACATACAGGTTATGTCTAACCTCGGTGACTGCAGTGGGGGGCAGAGTTCTGGAAATATTTACGGACAAAAATCAAACAACAGAAGTGGAAACTACAATTATTTCTTTATCATGTGATTTCAGCCTTGTACTCTAACCACTAAAACAAAAAGTTTTGTATTTATTTTTCGCAGTAAAACACGGGTAATACAAAACGGTATAGTGACTGTAATTCCATATTCAAGCAGGACATTGCAGCCGTGATATGCAGTAAACTTACACTAAATCTCAGCAGATAAACCATAAACGTACCTTCAGGAAATAACCAAGCTACTGACTCCCTTTGTTTGGCCAGCCATGGAGGCAAAACTACAGAGAGGGTCTGTCGTCGCTGCCTTGCCATGGGTATTCTCTCAGAAAGATATGCAGAGGTGGTCAGCACACTAGACAATAAAATATGATCAGGTATGATAAAATACATTCAAGTTGAATGGTGGGACTTGTTAGCTTTTTGGACTTTAGTTAGCGCACGACGACAATAATAAATGGCAATAAGAATGTCAAGTATAGCTGATTAGACGAGTGGTTATAGTACAAAGAGGTCACCGGGTTTGGTCCTGAGAAAAGTCAGATTTTGATGGCTGTAAAGCCCCAGCTATATTCTAACTGACTTATCATATCAGTTATCAATGATAAGTGTTATAAGTCCAATATGAATTAAAGGTAGTAAACTAAGTGTAATTTGACCCTTAATAAGCGATAAGGAACCTTCAATGCTGGACTTATATGAATGAATATATAGTTTTATTTTATTTTAACACATTAAAAGTAAACATATTTGATACATTGACATTTAAACATCTGAATTTAAAAATAAATTTCTCATGACTGAGCTTATAACCATGATTTCTATAAATTATCTAAATTGTTAAGTGATTTAAATTAAGAATGCTTTCTTAAAGGGCTAAATTGCATTGTTGTATGAACTTATATGCACCTTGGGCTTATTTCGATGTAACACTATAAAATTATTATATCAAGAGAAATTCAATAATTGAATGGGATTAAATACCGTAAACCACTCTCGATCAATAAGCTGCTATATCTATTTAACACACATTTAATATTATTCAGCTAATGTCATAAAATCCCAAAATAAAAATGAAGAGTTTCGGTACTCCATAATTAGCATGAAAAACTAAAACATACACGGCGCAAAAACAAATTTGTTTTCATAAATTAACATTGTCTGACACTTGAAACAACAATGCGTTAACATGTAAACAAATGTGTCTCTTTACTATGATTTACTGTTACGGTTACTCTGTAAGTAATGCAAAACAAAGTGTGGTTATATATTACTTGTCTGTGAACTATTTCAAATAAAATAAATTTCAACAATAATATCAGTAAAATATCAACATGTTTTACATTCTTGACGGGAAAGATTCACTCATAATTAAATTAGACTGATAAAATTTACTTACTCAGAATTTGTTGTCCTTCCAAATTCTGTAAGTCGAGGTATTGAATTATATCTAGAAGCGTGAAGAGCTAAAGCTGTAGATAAAACTGAAAAATCACACGTAATATAAGTACAAACCTCTTTTTCTAACTAATTCTGTCCTTGATCTACATTTTGAAATTAGTGGAATAGAAATTAATCTGACCAAAATAGGCAATGTTATAGGTATTTAAAGGCAATTAATAGGTATTTATAGATCACCCAATAGTCAGGTAGATGTATTCTTAGAACAATTCGATAATCTTTTACATAAGTTAATATCTAAGTGAAAACTCTTTGTTATCTCTGGTGATTTTAATATAGATATTCTTAGCATAAGTGACTGTGTAACCAGACAGTTTCAGTCATCCTCAGGACTTATTCACTCCAATGGTCAGTGAACTATCCTACCCTCACAGCCACATCCAAACCGCCATTGATAATGTCGTAGCTAACGTGCCCAACAGCCTTGTCACAGTAATTGAAACAGCTATATTCGATCACTTTGCACAAGAATCTGTGATAAGAACTTGCTCGCCAGAACTAGATCCCCCATCCATAAGTACAAAAAGACACTTCCGCCCAAGCAATATATCTCTTTAAAAAAATAAATCTTTCCATTGAAAATTGGGATTTTGTAGATGGCATTTCATCGTCCGATGAGGCTTTTGATTGTTTTCACAAAACACTGATTTACCATCTTGATGTCACTTGTCCGTTTAAAATAAAAGAAACAAAACAAAACTTGATTACTCGTGGTATACTTGTATCACGAGAAAAAATAAAATTTCTCTCAAAGATAAATAAAAACAACAAACGATGAACAATTTTAAAAGTAGAAAAAATACAAGAAAATTTACAGAAATGTTATAAAAGCAGCGAAAGCTTATATAAACAAAAACATATTAATTCAGAAAATATCTCCAAAACCACATGGAATATTATAAACAACATGAAAAACAATAAACGAAAATATAAGCCCATTACACTCAATGTCAATGGGAACCTGACAAGTAGCCCAGAGGCTAATGAATTTAACTCATTTTTCCTGTCTGTTGGGAAAGGAAATACAAACTTAAAACCAAGAATGTCATCAAATAAAAATCACTGGCACAGCCCCGTCTCTTCTCTAGTTTTATCCCCAACCAGCAAAATCGAGGTGGCACGTATCTGACCTCTCAGCTAAAAGATCTGATGACATTAATGGTATATCAATGTGGGTACTTAAGAAAGTATTCTAACCATATTCTAACCCCATTAACAAAATTAATTAACTCTTGTCTTCAATCTGGAACTTTCCCATCTGCATTAAAATCATCAAATCATTCCAATTATCCAAAAAGATGATCCACAAATATCAAACAACTACCACCCAATTGCAATCTCACCAGTTCTGAGTAAGATTTTTGAAAGGGTTTTTCTTTTGAGGCTACAAATTTTTTTGGATAAATATAATACTCTCAGAGAATCAGTATGAATTTAGACCGGGAAAATCCACCATTGATGCCGTAAATAAGTTAATTGAAGATATCCTCGAGGAACTAGAGTCGTAAAAAAGCATTAGGTGTTTTATCGACCTTTCTAAGGCGTTCGATTGTATGGATCATGACATAATGGTACAAAAGCTGGAGCTAAGTGGCATCCGCGGGGTGCCCCATATCTGGCTGAAATCATTCCTCATTGGTAGGACTCAGTATGTACAGGTGTTGGATGGTAAATCAAAGACTTCAAGGGTCTACCAATTTGTCCCGCAGGGATCGATCCTTGGTCCAGTTTTGTTCCGAATTTATGTCAATGACATCCACTCCTCAACGAACAGTGGGAAGGGCATGCAGTATGCAGATGACACGACTTTCTATTATGAATCAAAATCCCAAGAAACCCTTGAAAGTGAAAGCTTCATCAACTTGAACGCCTGCATTCAAAAATTCCAATCCGAAAATTTAAGCACGAACAAATCAAAAACATGTTTTATTAATTTTGCACTTCGTCACCGATGAGTCTACACCCACAGTAATGGTGGATGACACCTCTTTAGAGGAGGTTGATTCCATCAAGTTCCTAGGGATGCACCTGGATAAGGCGCTGAACTGGCAATATCACATTGATAGCCTCTGCTCCAAAATTACAAAAGGTATTTTTGCCTTAAGGAATCTCAAACAGACCTGCACAAAACAAGTTCTAATCATGGCCTTGTTCACCCTATCCTTTCTATGGAATTAGGTTATGGGATGGTTGTGCCAAACGAGATTTTGAAAGGGTGTTTATACTCCAGAAAAGAGCCATCAGACTCATTGCAAATTTAAGTCAATATGAAAGAGAGACGTGTAGGCTTGCTTTCAGGGAGCTTGGAATCTTGACCCTACCTTCCCTTTATATTTTGGAGACTGTGGTTTATTGCAGTTTCCAACACTTACCAATTCAAGGCAAAGCTATTCACAGCTATGAAACTAGAGCAAGGGACGATTTTCGCACTGTCCAACACCGCACAGCTGTTTTGCGAAACTCCCTTCTCAAGTAGGTGTCGGGTTTCTTAAAGCTCTTCCTGAGAGACCAAAAAGCCTGGAGAGTTCTCATTTGTTTAAAACAAGACTGAAGAGAGAGTTGGCGAATCTTGTGTTTTACGAGGTGGATGAGTTCACTAAATACCGTTGGAGTTGAATTGATTAAAAACTTTCTTCCCCAGGGGTTTAGTTAGTTTTTAGTAATTTGTTATTAAAATAATTGCTGTTATTACTTTTGATAGCAGTTTATTTATTGTTATTAATTAATATTTTATTAATTTACTGTTTTTACATAATATATACATATAGATTTTAAAAATAAATACAAAATTTCCGACCTTAGTTTACACAGCGATTGTATATTTTCTTATTTATTGCATTTTTTGTATTGATTGACGTTTGCTATACAATGTACAATTAATTGTCAAATAGCAATAAAGACATTATTATTATTATTATTATTATATTATGTCAATAGTCAAATTGTGTAAGAGTAAACTTAAGATAATTTCGAATAAGGTTTAAATGTACATATGTATTTTTCATAGTTACATATATGTGTTTGTGTACGTTAAAGAGTATAAGTTGTTAAATACGTTGACTTTATAATGGTATATACAAATCAGTTGTTGTAACATTATGTTTGTGTTGTGGTGTATTGATAATTATATAATGAATATGGACATTGAAGCTGAAACACTTTTATTGTATTGCAAGGTGTAATTCTTTCCCGCATTTGAACAGCGAGTATTACAATTTACAATTAACACATATAGTATTTACTTTACAGACGACAAAACAATCACAACCAAACAGAACGATTATTAGTCAAAGGAGGAAGTATGTTCTATTCAAATAAAACAAGCCCTTTTGTTTATAATAATAAAAATAAAAATAAAGCCTACAAAAAAATATAACAGAGAATGAATATACATGTTGTAATCATGTAAATATAATGAGATTTTACAATAGCATCAAAAGTTGGCTTTAATTTGTATTGCACATCATCAGTAACATTACTTACCAACTAAAGTCCAAATAGAAACAAAGAACCAAGGATAATTAAATTCACAATTAGAAAAGGTTAAACCAAACCGCTGTTGTCAAATCAGAAAAACAACATATCTAAACAAACAGAGCACTACAAACCACGAATACACTTCACTAAATTAAAATACAAGCATAATAATAACACTTAGATAAGAGTGTTTACCTAGGAACGTGGTAACTATAACACAAAACATGACAGCTGAGGTGACCGGTCTCGCCGGCTGCCGAACAGTACGGTGAAGTATAAAGACATGCCAGGACTAGGAAAACCTGTTCGGCCCTGAACTTGAATGGAGACTGGCGGCGATCAGGTTAGACCACGTGGTACACGCACTCATTGTACTTTTTCCTGATGCTTAGTATTACTCCGATTGATTCCTTGTCAACCAATTTGAGTCAGGTAAATCCGGTCCTGTAACTGAGATCGTGGGATTTTCCCGAAAATTAACCCATTTGAGAAATCCTTCTAACGTCAAATGGCTTAGTTATTACAACAGGAAATTTATGTTTGCAGGATAAGCAGGGAGATAGTTTGATCTTTCCTGAATTAGTTACAAAGCTTGCAAAAATCAAACACCAAATTCAATAACCAATAAAACTAAAAAAAAAAAAAAACAACTTAAAACAAACAAAAATAAAGAACCTAACAAAAAGATTTTTACAAGTATAGGAAAGCAACAATGTAAATATTACACATAACAAGCAAACGAACAAAGCAGCACAAAGCAAAGGTAATCAATAAGGAAAATGTAAGACAACCATTTTACACAAGTGGATTAGAGACACAAAGCAATGATTAGTAATAATAAAGAAAGGAAAACATGCAAAGAATATAAAAAACTATGAAACGCAATTTTAAAAGTACGAATTTAAGTTTCTATAAACGCGTTTTTTTCTGCAATATAAATGTCTGGAAATCGGTTCATTATGTTCAAGGAAGCTCCACAAAAGACATCATTTCAAACAAAAGAGTTTTCAGACGTTTTGTCGCCCATCCGAAAACACGTACGTTAAGGAAGACTCTTTTCCTAACACACGAGGAAAAGCTTTAAGAAACCCGGTGCTCTTTTGTTTGAGAAACAATTGATAAGGTGTTAGGAAGAATATCATGCATTATCTTAGGGATATTGTCATTGATTGGTGATTTGAGGGGAAATAGATGGATCTCCTTAAAACTAAAACAATCAAGTTGATGAAAAATATAAAAGTGATCGTAAGACACGTCTTTTGAACTCAAATATTTTCTTATTAATTTTGTGGTAATACAAACCGTTACACAGTAACCTTACAACAGCGGTCATTTGGGATATTTCAGTTGACTTTGAATATAAAATGAGTAAAAAATAAATTTCTATCATGTCCGTTAGCATGATAGTCATCACGATACTCGAGTAAAAATGGTTCAGTTTTTACGAAATTTGTTAGAAACCTGTAAACATATGTTTATTCGAACGAGCTCGCGAATTTGCATGATCCAACAATGGGAACAGGGGTGTATATGGTAAAAACGGTTTTCCATTTTTTTTACCCTTAAAGAATTTTTTTTCTAAACTTTTTTGTAGCTTTAAAACAAATAATTTAGTATATTGAAGCGTTACAGTAATTTGTTATTACTTGTGATCATTTATTCTTACACAACCATTTTGTCTATGTTATTGAAATTGTAAAAAACATTGACATTATTAAATCGGCCTTTTTATAAAAATCCACATTGGATAAACTGCTGTTCAAAGTTGCATTGTTTCATTGTTCATTTAACCGAAATTTGAACTACAAATTAATCTTCGCCATATCTTCAAAAAGTAATGAAGCTAAAGACACGATGAAAACAGCGATACAGTAGTTTAAAAAGGCACTGATGCAGTCGATAGACCGTCCTGTATTTTTTATGCATTGTAAATAATGAAGGCGAAGACATATACAGTTTAGAGAAAAAAATAACTTCTTCAACTATTTTAGCTATTTTAGCAAACTTGACATAACGTACCAGTACTTACTAAATCAAATGAAAATTATTTCAAATTTACCTTTCCTTCCACTCAATTCCTTCTTTTTCCTGTTTTTACGGATGATTTTTGTCTTATGTCCTGACTTAAATTTAAGTAAATGTAATAAGTCAAAAGCCATTTGCATTAATAAAGCCATTTTGACAGGTTTTCGAGTGCTTATTTTTTTTTTATAATACAGTATCTGTAAAATTAGCTAGTCAAACTTAGCAGTTTTTAGATTGAGAATTAACGTAAATCCATTGAACCACCGAGCATTTTGACGTTAAACACGTATTATGTTGAATACGCCAACTCAACCTACACCAATAACATATAAGACATTTGGAAATCTATTTTATATCTCATCAACTCTCACTTAAAGAAGGGCACATTCAACCATTTCATGACTTGATGGAATTATTGTCTACAGCCGTTTCATACGTGATCCATGTACTACAGTATGCAAAATAAAATTATATTGAAAATAACAATTTTCTTAGTACCTACCAAAACATATTTAAGTGTTGACTCCTTAATCAAACACAAAATACCATATCTAAGTGATGACTATATCATCACAAAAAACTATAATTAGGTACTGCGTAGAAATGCCATCTTACTTTTAATCATATGCATGGAGGCAATGGACAATTCAGTGGAACCATTATCACATTGGCCAGTTTCATTACCTACGGTTTGTTGAGCAAACAATTGATGTTTGCTCAGTACTTTAGCTTGGCCAACAAACCCTGCATTATCCTCCCAATCGGCATTTGGCAGTTGCAAAGTGGCCATGTCATATATTGTTTGTAAAAACACATTGTCATTCAAATAGACATAGTTCCATATTTTAATTTCGCTACGGTTTGATAAGTAAGTTATTAGGTTCCAAACCCAAATCGAACATACAAGATACAATAGATTATTTCTAGATAACACCCAACCTTTAAATAACCAATAAAATCCTTTCATGCGAAATTAGAGGAAAGATAGAATTTAAAAAGTGAGTCGTTTGCAAGGAATGTTAAGTATTTAATACTAGAGCAAGACTTATATATATCACGCAAGGAAATTAACCCTATACTGTATATTTTAATTTGTCACTTGTTAATTACAATAATTTGTTTTCATTTGAAACAGTAAAAGTTTCATAGTATTTCATAGTACAACAGGTTGTCTGAACAACATTATTTTGCACATTAACAAAAATAATGTATGAACTCGTTTAAATTCAGATTACGTTGGGCCAAATTAAGACAATTTGGTGTTGTAATAACCAAGCTAATGTAGGATCTCTGTTCAATTAATTATTAGAATTAACTCATTTCAATGGCAGTGTCATCTGTTTTTGACATTCAGATAGATTGCCCTAGTGAGTCAGTCTGCATGATTGTATCAGACTGAAACAAAATTTGCACTTGTGTTGTAAAATAAAAATAAAACCTTATAAAGCAAATAAATGTAAAATACCTAGAAATTGAATGCACAGAATACACGATAGTCAAATAATTTAATTTTCTGTAACAGTGTTGATCTAAAAATGAACTAAACAGCAAGAGTAGGGTACATAAATGGATTACCGTATTTACCATTTCTGTAAAGCCTATGTTTTTATTTGATATAAACATAGTGAAGAAGTAAGTTCTTTTTTAGTTTTGCATGTTACTTTTTAGTTTGAATGATTAAAATAAATTAAGAGACAATTTAATTGAATATAGATGAAAAATTGTGTGCGAAAAGTACGAAAGTCATGAATCAGTTTATAAAGTAACAATGGAAAAACTAGAAGAAATAAAAATACAATTGAAAACAAATCATTGAGTCCAGCAGGTTTTTAAATGGTCTTTTGATGCACTCGCCACACATGGTAAACTATCTGGTGCTCCCTCTATATTATATAAGCAACGAGACTCTCCCCCATGATTTCGACTTGGAATTCGTCCATGACTCTGTGAACAAAAATGCTACTTGAAGTTTTTCACCAAACTAGATGGACATTCAATAAATTGGCTCCATCCTTATCACTTAGTGGCTGCCAGGTTTAGTTTACCAATTCATGATGTGAGCCTCGACGATCAAGAATAGCCAGCTGATCGAGGACGGCTGCTGAGCCTACATACTATTTTTATATAGGTATTTCATGTTATTGTTATTGTTGCTCGTTAGCGCCTTTGGTATATATCATATAGCAACAATAAGGTATTAGTGATAAGGTACGAAGCCAATTGGGTTGAATGTCCATATAATTTTGTAAAACTTCAAGTAGCATTTTTGTTCGCAGAGTCATAGATGAATTCCAAGCAGAAATCATGGTGGAGAGTCTCGTTGCTTATATAATATGGAGGGAAAAAATAATAAAAAATAATATGGAGCAGTATTAAAAACACACAATTTATAATATGTATAATATGTATTGGTTCTATTATGCCAACAACGTACATTAACTCACACAAGAAATCTCGTGAAATTGTACTTTTTAAAACAGTTTTGCTAATATACATTTTTTATTGATACCTGGCCTTAAGCACTTTTAATGTTTAAATAGCTTGAGCAAATAAGGGGGATAAAAACTAAACAGTCAGATGAATATTTCTGGATAACATGGTCTGATGATAATTTGCCTAGATGTGAAGGTATCTGACAAATACACGTAGTCTATATAAGCCATAAATTCACCAAATTACTTATTCCCCATAAAGGTAGTTCAATACTAAAAAAAATGGATGGGTATACAATAATCACCTCATAACCATTACCTTGAAATATTATAAGTTAGTCCTTATTATAGCTGTTTGAAAAACTAGCAATTTTTTACGCGTGTTAAATGTTGAGTGTATTATTACTCTTCTATTTTATGAGTATTATGTTTAGTATTCTATTCGCTCTTGGGTAAAAATACCTGTAGGTAAGTAACAGTTTACAAACAAATCGTTCTGTTTGGTAGCAATAACTTTAAGTTTTCTAAAATCACATAATAAAGCCCAAAACACACCCTACATACTACTTTCTCTAATATACATAAAATTTACTTTATTTGACTCGTATAAATGATACTACATGGTAGTATTTTTAAACAATGACAACACATAAACACAATTAAAACTAACGGTTTACAAGGTTTATTCCTACTAAAGCACTGAGCTAATGCTACTATTTTCCCAAATAAATCAAATGGTAAAAATACATGACTTTCCTTTGAGAGGCTTTCACATGAGATCAGGTTAAACGTATGATTC